AGGACTTTAATATCACCAACCATTCCCATTTTATTACGGTGTATCCATATAAATGGCCCACCCTGTAGTTGGCAATAAAACAGTTTTATTGGGAATTAACTTAAAAAACAAACAAACAACAAACAAACATTATGTCTCCTATTTTTTGTCACACAGGAAAGAAGCATCAATATCTGATGAGAAGACTTATTTATTTCTTTTTTGTTTGTTTTTTTCAACAGGAGAAGAATATCTCTGACAAGTTGATTTGTTCACATTTTCACATCTTAATTTTTAAGTGAAATGTGCATTTTGAGTTTATACACTATGTATATAAGGCGACCGTTTCCTTTTGCAGTATTTTTGTGTGGTTCGTTTTTCTATGTCTTAACAAAAGGGGAACAAAGGTGTTTTTTCACATGGTCTCACTGAGGCGATGCGAATTGAAACATGCATCCTTTTCTTTTTGTGCGGGGGGGAATGTGCTGGAAAAGCTTGAAAAGGGACCTTGAAAGTGCTTAAAAAGTGCTTGAATTTGACCCTGAAAAAGGTGTATGAACCCTGAAGCTACATTTAATGAGGCACTGATATCACTAATACCAAAAAAAAGATAAAGACAATACAGATCCATCAAATTACAGACCAATAAGCTTATTGAATTTGGACTGCAAAATACTTACAAAAGTTCTAGCCTTAAGGTTCTGGGTGTCATCATACATCCAAATCAGACTGGATTTATGAAAACACGCTCTTCCTCAGATAACATTCGAAAGCTACTCCATTTGATGTGGCTGAGCCGGTCTAAAGATACTCCAATAGCAGCTTTCTCCTTAGATGAGGAGAAGGCTTTTGACAAAATTGAATGGAGCTTTCTTTTTTCAACCTTGTTCCAGTTCGGGTTTGGTCCACACTTTCTAAATTGGGTTAAAGTGCTATAAAAAGAACCAAGAACCAAAGGCGGTGGTAATATCAAATGGTATGGTTTCACCCTTCTTTAGTTTGTCACCTGGAGCTCGTCAGGGCTGTTCTTTAAGCCCCCTTTTGTTCTTAGTTTTTATAGAAACATTGTCAGTGAGTATCAGATCAAACAAGGAGATTAAAGGTGTCATAGGTGGGCAGCAGGAACACAAACTCCTCCTCTATGCTGATGATATTCTTGCCATTATAACAGACCCACTTTTATCAGTGCCGCATTTAATGGACACCATAAAGGCGTTCTCTGAGGTGTCAGGTTATACTATTAACTGGGGAAAGTCTGAAGTAATGCCACTATCCCCACTATGCTATCCGTACATGGTAGAAAAATTCAATTTTAAATGAGTGCCTAGAGGGATGAAGTATCTTGGGATTAGGCTAAGCCAAGATATGGAGGACCTACCCCCAACTTAATTTTGACCCAGTCCTTCTAAAAATAAAAACAAATATAGAAAAATGGGCCAAATTAAAAATCTCATTGTGGGGCAAAATAAATATTGTAAAAATGATTATAGCTCCCCAATTTAACTATGTAGTAATGATGTTACCAATTGCGATACCGCCCGGTTTCTTTAAACAGTATGAAGACTTAATTAAACAGTTTCTGTGGGATGGGAAAAGGGCAAGAATCAAGATAAGTAAATTATATGCTCCTAGAGAGAAGGGTGGTTTAAGTTTACCCGATCCAAGATTATGTTCAGTCTCATTCGAGATGGCAAAATTGGTTAATTACTGGGGGGAAAATCAAGCCAGACAGGAATGGCTAAGTATAGAGTCTGAAATTTATACTCCCTTCGATCCAAAAGGTATGTTGTTTCAAAGCTGCACTTCAACGAACCCAATGTTGTTTCACTCTACCCAGGTTTGGCTCAATATACATAGAATTCTTAAAATATCACCTCATGTGCAGTTTTACTCATCTCTTTGAAACAATCCAGCTATTCGTATAGGGAAAAAATTGTGTTTTGGAAATTGTGGCAGTCTCATGGCATAAATGTTATTAGCGACTTATTTAAAGATGGGGAATTTATGACCTATAGAGACCTTGTTCAAACATACAAATTGGAGGGGAAGGAAAATTTCTGGAGATATTTGCAAATTAGACATTGTGTGATGTTGAAGTTCAGAAGGGGACATGAAAATCTAGTTCTAAATTTTATAAATATGCCTCAGGAGCACCACACAGCATCATGTTTTTATAGGTTGGTAAATGATAATAGAAGTGGGGAATGTTCCAATAGTAAAACTTTGTGGCAGAAAGATTTAAATGCACCAATTCCAAACAAAAAATGGATGGGCATTTTGGCGGAAAATGGGATTTATGTTAAGGAGGCGAGGAGCAAATGCATACAATATAAAATTCTGCATAGATATTATCATACTCCAACAAGATTACACCGTATGAAGCTTATGCCTGATGATCTCTGTTGGAAATGTAAAATTGAGGCGGGGACTTTCCAACATTGTTTTTGGGAATGTTCCCTTATAGCTCCTTTTTGGAAGGAAGTCGTCACACTTTTAAAAGGTTGGCCAGGATTAGAAGTGCCCTTAACTCCTGAATTGTGCTTGTTAGGAGACCGTTCTCATATTCCAAGAATTCATAATAATATTTTTACGGTTGTTATGGTTGGTTGGTAACTGCATCGAGGATTATCCTTAGGCACTGGAAGACTACAGTACGTCCTGAACTGAAAGACTGGATCAGAGCAATGGCAGAGACTGCTTCCTATGAGTCCATGCTGAATAAACTTAAAAATGATACAGAAGACAAAGATGAACATTGGGACTACTTTTGGAGCTATCTGAAGCAAACAGGAAATCATGACCATATTATCATAATCTGAAGGACTATTAACTGTGACCACTGGTCCAAATATTACTTTACCGTCAATTTTATTTGCCCATTTCTGTGTTTCTTCTCTTGGAACCTACTGTTAGTTAGTTTCTCTTTTCTTTCTTTTAGACTTGTAAGGGCAGGGGTGCACACCAGCAGTTTTCTTGTTTTGTTTTGTTTGTTTGTTTTTTGTTTTGTTCTTTTGTTTTTCTCCCTCTTATACAGGTTTAAGTATATGATGCAAAATCAATAAAAAACTTAAATGTCAAAAAAAAAAAAGATGATAAGTTCAGGCTCCATTGTATTGCTATGCGTTCGCCAAACAAGAAACCACTATGCTATGGAGCAACTAGAAGCATGAATAAAGAAAATGAAACAACAAAACTCCACTGGTTATTCAAAACATGGAACAAAATACTCATGGTTCTAAATAAACAGACACACATACTTCATTTAAGAAACACATTTTTAAAGCAAATTTATTTAATGATGGTGATCAACTTGTGGATACATTACTACAACATTTTATGAAAATATTTACGAGTTAAAAATGGAACAAAATAAAATGAACTGCATTTCATCAATGAAAAACTGTAATGATGAGCAAAATATTGTTTAAAAGATACAGAAAATGAAATTTAAATTTTTCGATTTAAAATCTCTGGTCAAAGCATGACATTTTTGTTAATTATTTTATTGCATGCAAATGTATTTTGTCCATATCCTCTTTAACATTCCAGGGTGCAACCTAACAAGGGCTATATATTTAATTTTAAAAAAAAAAAAAACGCACAAGAAAAGCACAAAGTAATTACTTGATTCTCCCTACTCAAACTCAGACAAACACAGCAGAGGAGTCTGATCCTAAGAAGTGACTTGCCCTCAGTCCAACGTAGAGCGGCTGATTGAATGTGTTCTGGACTCTGTGAAGGAGAGTCATGGTGCCAGAGACACTATAGAAGGACAGAATACCTGCTTTGTGATCCAGGTACACTCCAATTTTGGAAGACACAGGGCCTGTAAACCTATAACAATTTTTTCCATGACTGAGTGAATAATTACTACTGTAACAGTCTAATGCCCAAGACTCACTATTGTTTCCAAATTCACTTTGATCTCCCGTTCTGCTTATGCTTTTGTATGCGACTGCTATGTAAATACCAAACCCACTCCACTCTACCTCCCAGTAATGACATCCAGTCAGACTTTCTTTGCTCAGGACCTGAGACCTGTTCATGAATCTTTCAGGGTGACCTGGATATGCCTGTTTTTTACTCACAAATGTTGCCCTTCTGTTCTCTTCAGATAATAACAGCCGCATGTTTACAGTGTCTGGATCCAGTGTGAGCTGAGTTGAAAACTTTAAGAATTCAGCTCGGGTTTGTGGCTCTGGTTGAGGTAGCAACACGTCTACATCAGTCACTGTGCGGGAAACTTTTTGCCATCCTTCCTGAAGATCATCCTGCAGTTTATTTTTCACCTCTAATACAGCAGCCGGCACGTCATCAAAGTACAGCAGAGGATGACGTTTAGTAAAAGGTATCTCTGTAGATTCAGTAAAATTTGAGAACAAAGGGAACATGTGTAGAAACTGAGTGTGATCCTCTGTGTGAGAGAGCTGTTCCAGTTCAGCATGTTTTCTTTTTAGTTCACTGAGCTCTTCCTGCAGTTTTTCCACAACCTGTTTAGCTCGTTTTACTTCAGTTCTCTGTTGACATCTGATCTGTTGCTGGATATCAGAATTTTTTTCTTTGATGTGAAAGAAAATTTGTTCAAATGTCTTCTCAGTGTCCCTCACAGCTTTATCAGCAGACTGATTAATGGCCTCCATTTCCTGCAGAAACACCTTAACATGTTCTTCTCTGTCCTGAATTCTTATTCGAAAATTTTCCAGACACGGCTTCAGCTCTTTCTGCTTTTCAGTTCTTTCTGTTGAAGCTGGGACTGTGTCGTGGCCTTTATGTTCACCCATGGAGCACAAATAACAGATACACTGCTGATCCGTGCGACAGAAAATCTTCATTACCTCATTGTGGTGAGAGCACATGTTCTCCTGAAGCTTCTTGAATGGGTTAACCAGTTTGTGTTTCTTCAATCCATCTACATTATGATGAGGCTGTAGATGGCGCTCACAATAAGAGACCACACAGTGCAGGCACGACTTGAAGGCTTTCAGTTTTCTCCCACTACAAACATCACAGGCCACATCTCCAGGTCCAGCATAGCAGTGATCAGCAGGAACAGCATACAGTCCAGTCTGCTTCACTTCCTCCACTAACTCTGCTAACATGGTGTTTTTCACCAGAGCAGGCCTCGGTATGAAGGTCTGTCTGCACTGAGGACAGCTGTGGATGTGCTTCTGATCCTGTCCATCCCAGTGAATTTTAATACAGTCCCTGCAGTAGCTGTGTCCACAGGGAATAGTCACAGGATCATTCAGTAGATCCAAACAGATCGCGCAGCAGAGTTTGTCACCAGCAATTTTAAATCCTTTCTGTGCCATTTCTCCCCATAGACAAAGTGTCAGTGAATGCATGTGAATGTTTTACAGTTTTGACAGAGAGCATAAGAAGGAGGGGTTTACACATTCTGATAGATTCCAGAAACAGGATCAGCAGGTTTGAATGACCTAATATGTGTTAAGTGCATTGCTATGCATTCCTGTCTCAGTAACTGGAAACGCCTGAGAAATCATCTTCCACCAAAAACAAGAGGAAGCTTTTCTTATATTTTATTTAGGTTATTGTAATTGCATCCATCCATCATAATAATATATTTGAGAATGCTTTGGTACTCTCTTGCCCTCCTCATGTTACTATTATCATTATTATTATGACAGTGATTGAAATGCACCTAATTTCAAACACCAAATAATCTTTACCAGGTGAGCATTTTCCTTTTGGTTTGAAGTCTAAGACATGTATAAATGTTACATATTTGTGAAGACTAACATTGTTTAAGTATGTCAGGGCATCGCAGCAATGCACAGTTAGCCCCGTAGAATCAGCTAATGTCGGATGTCGGAGTGGAGGATCCCATCCTGTACCTCCTACAGAGAGGCCACTCACACCTGAAAAAGGGAAAAGGCACGGTCAGGATCCTGTTTCTTGACTTTTTGAGTGCCTTTAATGCAATCCGGCCACGTCTACTTCAGGAAAAACTAAACAGGATGCAGGCGGACCCCTGCCTGGTCACTTGGATCTCCGACTACCTCACTGACAGACCACAGTACATCAGGCTGAAGGTCATCACGTCTGACACTGTGGTCAGCAGCACAGGGGCACCACAGGGAACTGTGCTGTCCCCTCTTCTCTTCACCCTGTACACCTCTGACTTCTGCTACAACTCTGAATTATGCCATATTCTGAAGTTTGTGGACGACACGGCCATCATGGGGTGTATCTGGGATGACCAGGAAGAGGAGTAGAGGAGTCTGGCGAGGAACTTTGTCACATGGGAGTCACTCAAACCACCTGCAGCTCAACACCTCAGAGACCAAGAAACTGGTTGTGGACTTCGGGAGGTCCAGACTAGTTCGGATAGAGGGAGAGGAGGTGGAGGTGGTCAACAAATACAAGTACCTCGGGCTGTGGGTGGACAACAAACTTGGACTGGTCATACAACACGCTGCACCTGTATAAAAAAGGCCAAAGCAAACTGTACTTCCTCAGGAGGCTGAGGTCTTTTGACATCTGCACGAAGCTACTGAGGATGTTTTACCAGTCGGTGGTTGCCAGAGCTGTTCTATGCTGTGGTGTGCTGGGGGAGCAGCACAGCAAAGAAGGACTCATCCAGGCTGGACAAACTGATCAGGAAGGCTGTGGTCGGCATGAAGCTGGATGATGGGTCTGTCTAGCACAACCCCTTACTGGAACGAGACAATTCTACTACAACAGCAGAAGGAAGACGCAAGTCACCAAAGTTCTTTGTGTTACTCGTGCACGAGGGAGAGAACTGTGACAAGCGTGTTCCTGTAGCTCACCCCAGTCTCTCTCGTCTGCTCTCTTGTAACACTGCTCTTTATTGAGGTTACATGAATATGCATAGGTTCATTAACATAGGATATCTTACATAGGCGTACATGTGAACAAAGAGTACCTTGTCTGTGTGTACGTATAGGCGTGTGTGTGTGCATGTGTGTGTGGGGTCAAGATGTGGCCCTGTGAACGACTTCCCTAAACCTGCTGGCCTGGAAGTCCAGCAGTTCATCTAAACAAAAGGCACTTATACTGAAACAGATATAGTTGTGTTTACCATACCATAAAACAGTAAGAGAAGGTATGACTATGACCTCTCTCATGACCCCAGGATGTGTGTGTATGCCAGAGTGCTCTGGGAGGCACACAGAGTCTTTGCAGACTGCTAAGGATCAGATATCCTATCATTATGCAATCGATTATAAAACTGAGCATATATGAGTAAATATTTCTAAGCATAAATGACGATCCACAATATAAACCTGACATTGGACACTGGCGACAGTGGCAGAGAAAAGGACACTAAACTGCTGGACATTATGGACAATGCTGGGCATTCTCTGCACACAGTCGTAAATAATCAGAGGAGCCTATTCAGCGACAGTTTGCTTCTCCCAAAGTCAAGAACCAACAGACTTAAAAACTCCTTTGTCCCACACGCTGTTACGGCCCTGGGCTGGCTGTGTACCTCTGTTGTGCTCTGTGTCTGAGGTAATTGAAAACCCTGTCAATGATTCTGTTTTTGTTTTTGAACCTGCCGCTGACAGTCTGCCCTCTGTTTTTCCTGCCTGCGTTGTCACGCGCGCCCACAAGCGCAAATACGGTGATGTTGACTTGTCTGACTCTTTTCTATGTTCTGAAGCTGTTCCTGAGAAAGCTGAAAAATGCTTGACTGATAGAATGCTACCCGCTACACCTGATCTGTCTTTTGAGGTAGACAAAACAGATTTTGTCCATGTGCAACAGAATGATCCATCTCTGGCCAAATGTTTACTCGCCGCAAATTCCAGCGATCAGAATCCCCGTGTTTACAACATTGAAAATGATGTGTTAATGCGTAAATGGCATCCTCCCTCATCTAGTGATCTTGGCTGGAATGTATTTCAACAGGTAGTTGTAAAATCCGACCTCAAGTACTCAGCCTCACACATGACAGTTTCTCTGGACATTTAGGAATTAGGAAAACTTACCACCGTATTCTGCGTCACTTTTTCTGGCCAGGTTTGAAGTCTGATGTAACCAAGTACTGCCGTTCATGCCACATTTGCCAGGTCAGTGGAAAACCCAACCAGGTTATTCCTCCCACTCCACTGCATCCAATCCCGGCTTTAGGCGAACCATTTGAGCACGTAATCATTGATTGTGTAGGTCCGCTTCCAAAAACAAAGTCAGGACATCAGTACATCTTGACTTTGATGTGCGCTGCCACACGCTTCCCCGAGGCGATTCCGCTACACACTATCAAAGTCAAAGCCATCGTCAGAGCATTAGTAAACTTTTTCTCCACTTTCGGTTTGCCTTAATCAGTTCAAACGGACCAAGGGTCAAACTTTATGTCCAAGATTTTCGCTCAGTTCTTAAAATCGCTCGGCATAAAGCATCAAAAATCCAGTGCGTATCATCCCAAATCACAGGGTGCACTTGAGCGTTTCCACCAAACATTAAAAGCCATGATGAGGAAGTTCTGCCTCGAGTCAGGAAGAGAGTGGGATGAGGGTCTGCCACTTCTCCTTCTAGCGGTGAGAGAGAGTGTGTAGGAGTCCACGGGTTTCAGTCCAGCGGAGCTGGTGTTTGGACACACAGTGCGTGGTCCCCTGCAGCTGCTTAAAGAGAAATAACTGTTCGACACGGCTATCCCCGAGCAGAATGTATTAGATTACGTAAATTGTTTTAGGGAGCGTCTGCATAGAGCCTGCGAAATTGCATGCGAGGCTCTTTCCGCGTCTCAGGAGAAAATGAAAAGGAAATTTGATTAAAAAGTCTGTGCAGAGAAAATCTGAGGTGGGTGACAAAGTGTTGACTCTCCTACCCGTTCCTGGATCCTCTCTCCGGGCAAAGTTCTGTGGGTCCTATACTGTCCAAGAGAAACTGAGTAACACAGATTATGTTACAGGTACCCCAGACCATAGGACAAAGTGTTGTGTGTGCCATGTTAATCTGATGAAGCCTTAT